CTCTCTCTCTCTCTCTCTCTCTCTCTCTCTCTCTCTCTCTCTCTCTCTCTCTCTCTCTCTCTCTCTCTCTCTCTCTCTCTCTCTCTTTGTGGCTCCCTTCGCCAGAAAAGTTTTGCTTCGGTGATATGGTAAATTTGGCAAAGATTGAGGCTTGATGTCCTTGAAATTTTTGAATTCGATCTTCATATCGGCTGTTGATATTTTAACGTACACTAATGTGATTGAGTTTTGACAAAACCTGTGTGGGAATGAGCAGTACATCAAAACTTGGTGATGGGCTATAGCACTTTACACACCTTCTCTCCTCTCCTTGCCTCCCTCTCTCTCTCTCTGTCTATGTCCCTCGGTGCTCAAAGAGTTTTCCCTTTTCTGCGTCTCCTGAAGGAGAGGACAATTCGGTCTTTTTCTGAACATAAGCCTTTGTTGTATTGTTCTGAAGAAAACGGACGAGTGTTTCTGCAATCCTTTCAGCACCTCCTGGTTCTTCATTGGGGCAACGCATGTGGCGGAAACATGTAATTAGGGTGTACTCGGACATTCACGTCTATTATATACATTGCTTTGACCACATTCATGACTAACTTTCTGTGTGGATATTCCTTGTGTGAGTGTGAGACCTCCTCGATATCTCCAATGTTTAGTCAGCTTTGTTGCACGAATGGTTATCTTTGTGTGTTAATGAATGTATATCTTGTTCACTCGTGGGCCCTAGTATTCCTAACCTTTCTCCTCCCTCCCCTCCCCCTACTCCTTATCCCTCATCCTACTGCTTCTCCTCATCATCCCCCCCATCCCCGCTGCCATCCTTTCTTGTCATTCCCCCTCCTCCCCCCCATGTCCCCTCCTGCTCCTCATACTGCTGCTGCTCCTGTTTCTGCTTCTGCGACTACTCCTGCTACCAGTGCTCCTCTTGCTCCCATATTCCTCTTCCCGCGCGCCCTCCTCCTCCTCCTCCTCCTCCCCCTCTTGCTCCCCCTCCTCCTCGTGTTTTTCCTCATGTTCCTCCTCCTTCTGCTCTCCTGCTTTTCCTACTGTCCCTCCTCCTCCTCCTCCTCCTCCTCCTCCTCCTCCTCCTCCTGCTGCTGCTGCTTCTTCTCCTCCTGCTGTGGCTCTTGCTTGTGCATTTGCTCCTGCTGCTGCTCCTACTCTCCTCCTCCTCCTCCTACTCATGCCCCTCCTCCTCTTGCTCCTCTTACTCCTGCTCCTACTCCTGCTCCACCTCCTCCTGCTCCTCCTGCTCCTGCTCCTCCTGCTCCTCCTGCTTCTCCTTCTCCTCCTGCTCCTCCTGCTCCTCCTGCTCCTCCTGCTCCTCCTGCTCCTCCTGCTGCTCCTGCTCCTCCTGGCTCACCCCCTGCTCTTGCTTCTCCTACCCCTCCTCCTCGTCCTCCTCCTCCTGCTCCTCCTTCTGGCTCCTGTCCTTGCGTTTGCTTCTCCTCCCCTTCCTTTCCCTCCTCCTTGTCCTCATTCTACTCCTTTCCCCCATTGTCCTCTCGTCCCTCTATTCTCCTCCTCCTCTCCCCTCTTCCTTCCTTTCCTTCTCCTCTGGCTTCTCCACTCTTCCCTCTCTCCTCCCGACTGCTCTCGCTTCTTTCCAGTCATCATCTTCCTTGGCAGCATTCACGGTTATCATAACTTTCGAAATGCCCTTTCCACTTCATGAAGGCATTGTCCCTGACAGGACATTTCAGGTAAAGTAAAAGTGAAGGAGGGGAGGAAGAAGACGAAGAGCAGGAGGTGAATGAGATTGTTTTTATGTATGCAAACTTTTGTCCCTTCTCTCGCTGTATGCAGTTATGGACCTAAAGAAGTCTGCACACTCTCAAATGACCCCGAGTGTTCGCCAAACTCCACATAGACAGATCAGAGATGGCAAACAATGCGACAACATGCAGCATTCCCGTGCGCCCGCACACTTGCCTGAGGCCATATAACTTAATCCTGAACCCTAAAACATTAAATCTAAACCCTAAACCCTAAATCCCAAACCCTTAAACTGGACAGTCTCAAACACCTGCCTAAGCCAGATCTCCTGCAAGGTCAGGGGAATATCTTTGCGGGAGATGAGGCGAATCGAAATGAAGGCGGGGCAGCGGAGAGTCATTAACTCGGGAGCCTCTTCCACATGGGGCATTGTTCCTAGTTTGTTTGCTGATATCCGTCAACCTAATGGTGCTCGATGTCTGCCCAGATCTTTTGGGGTGCTGATGCTCTGGGTGAACCATCTATACAGGGGGGTCTGGGAGAAGGGCCGGAAAACATCTGTGGCTGCCAGTCTCTGTGCATAGTGGATTTTTTTAAATATATTTTCTTAAACCACCACGACCTTTCTCAGTGTTGGGAAAAACGGGAATATACGTCACATGCAAGGCTGGGCCGGCAACCAGCCGGTTGACTTCCCCCGGTCCATCCGATGCCGGACCAGCCCAGGGGGCATGAACTGGAAAACCGTTTTTTTTTTTTAAAGATGCCCAATTGTTACGATCCTGGTCATATCCAAAGTGAAAATTCAGAAGGCAATGCCACCCAATTGCGAAAGGAATGAAAGCACTTGCAAAGAGATAGAGACCAAAGAAGAGAGAAAGAAGAAGAAGAGGAAGACGAAGAAGATCTACACCGGCAAGACCAATGACAAATCCCCCTTCTCTCTCCACCTTCCTCCTCCTCCTTGACTTCGCCAATCTTATTCTTCTTCCCAATAACAATAATCACAATGAGTGGATGAACCAGAATCAATATCCGAAGTTCCCGATTACTGCCAGCACAACAACAGGTCCACCATAGCCATGGTTTCTCCCTTCTTCCTCCTCTCACATGCCGAGGCTAAGGCGGACTACTAAGGGCTCTGCCCTCCTTTCCAAAGGACAACACAGAGCAGCTATGTCGCTGCTCATCAGGCCGCCATGCCTGACTCTGCCTCGAGCTTCCTTGGTGCGGCACTACCGCAACTGGGGCCTTCCAGATGCAGCGCCTATCAAGGTGATGAAGATGGTGTCCACCATAGCCAGGCAGGTACCTCCCCACTCTCCTCCTTCGCCCCCCTTCTTCCTCCTCCTCAGGCTGGGCTGCTCGCCATAGCCAGGCTGAGCGCCCAGCTGCTCTCCTCCTCCAGGCAGCGCTCCAAGTCCAGCGCTTGGCTCCACCAGTATGTCACCAATCCTTGCACACCGCAAATGAGGAGAAGCTACTTGCTCCTCCTGAAGATATAGCGGCCTACTTGCCTCTTGGACGGTGACTTCCTAGGCCTCGCGACCTCCCAGCAACCGGTACCTTCTCCCTTTCGTAGGGAAACATCATTGCAGGCTCTGATATCGACCGTACAGGCCCTAGACTCAGGCTAATTGGACTGGTCGGCCTACCTCTAGCCTACCGCTACTGGGCCTCTAAAAATGCCAACTTTTGTCTTCTTCTGCTCGACCTCGAGTACCCAACACTTCTACCACTACTTGAGTGGTACCGGCCTACCTGCTACTTGATTGTTTTTCCCCGTTGCTCTAAGTGTCACGGGCCTACCCCTGCTACTTGAGTGTTCTTCCCCGCTGCAACCCTCAAAGCCACGGCCACAGGTAAGTACGGCCCTGCGGGGCCTCGAAACGTTCGCATACCCTTGCAGGTCACACACAAACTCAGGCTGACAAGCACTCAGACAGGCACGCAGACCAGCAGGCACGCACACACACAGACTTAGAAATCACAGCAGAATGCGGGAATCTCAGCAAGGCATACATTCCAGCGGCAAATCCCAGAAATCAGTAGTGTTCTTAGTCTGTGTTTTGGCAGGTCATTACACCAATTTTTTTAATGTTTTCTTTTTTAATTATTTTGGCGGATTTGGATTGCGCTCGTCGAGATCTGTTGAAATCCGCAATAAAATTTTGGATGTGCAATTTTTTTTGTTGGGCTTTTCAGAGGGGTGGAGGGGGGGGAGTAGTATTGGGATGTTCAGGTTCAGGAAGGTGTGGCTCTCAGGGGGAGGGGTTGAGTAAACAATGTTGCTTGTCCGCCCCCTGTGGCCCAGAAATTTCGATTCAGCTCCAGAGTATGTTGTGGATTGCCGTCCTCGCCCGCTGTCCCCCAACAAGCCAGGCTGCAAAACGCCGCTGCCCCCCCCCCCAACAGTGACAACTCTGATTGGGGGGGCAACCCTGAGCCAGCAGGGACGCACCCGGACAAGGATTTGGTCATGATGACAGCCGACGGAGTGGCAGAAGAGACGGAAGATAAGCGACGGCATCTGCCGGGAAGGGACAGCGAGTTGACCAGGGTGGTTCCGCGCCAGGCGGGGGAGTGAAGGCTTCCAAGGTGCGAAAGGAAGAAAGGACGGATAAAGGAATAAACACAACAAAAACACAGACGCACATCCAACAATGCTGCGAGGAGGCGCCTTGCAGGTGGTGCGGCCTCGTCGGGCGACAGGTGGCGGCAATAGGAGAGGTGCAGGAGCGTGGACCGCGACCAGTCGCGATACTGAATACGGCGGAGTACAAGGAGGATCGACGCCACTCCAGAGCGGCAGCCTTTCAGGACCGAGCGAGAAGA